TGGGGCCTGGCGGTGGTCGGAGAAGCGGGGTTGTGTTGAAGAAAGGAGGGTGAGGAAGGTGAGCACTGACCGTAGGAGGAGAGGGGCTGCTCCAGCAGAAGGGGAGGATGAAAGCTGTGCTGAAAACAGAGTGACTGGGAGAGGACCTGACCCTGAGCGAGGGGGTGGGGGTCAGGGAGGGCTGCTCCAAGGGAAAAGTTTGGCACTGTTGGAGATGGACATCTCAAATCTTGGCGGTAGATAAGGTAAGGTGCCTGCCGTTAGGCCGGGTAGCTGCTAAATCTGCTAGGCTTTAAGGCAGAGTTGTTACTGAGGTGTGTGACTGTCTGGGACTGCTGATGGGGCACCAGTCTGTTCCACTGCCGAAGCTCAGAGGAGAAGGGGGTGTTTCAGGTGAACCAGACAGGGTGCTGGGAGTGGGAGGGGGAGAAACCTTAAACAGCTGACCTGCTAAAGTGGGTGCAAGACCCTCTCCTACTCATGTTTGAGGGGGTTCAGCAAAGATGTCACTGTTGCCTTTTTCAGAAACAGGTCCCTGAATGTCTGTCCGTGGCACTGTTCTGTTTGTTTTCCTGCCAACTTAGGAGTGTCTGTAAATGTAAATACTGACACTTGCCAAGTGGAGAGCACTGATTAGCAATCAAAATATTTTATGTAGGGATTGTGGATACACCGCACTTCTGGAGAGAATAAAATAGAGTTACTGCATGTCCTCCTATTGGCTTACCATTAATATCTGTAGTGCTGCACTTCAGTGTTTTCCTTCCTTTGTCTCTCTTTGAATTATAGATGTTTTAGCTGTAGCTGTTTGTTCGCTTGGCAACTTATAAATACTCTGCCTGACTTTTCCTTTAGTGCAAAGTCTTTCCCTTGTTTACATCACTTTGTTAGCTGCCACTGGCTCAAACATGCCATCCGTTGCTTTTGGTGTGAATGAAGCTATCTTTTGATCTTTCAGGTATGCTTTGTGGAAAGTTTTTGTTCTTGTTTTGCATTGCCTCCCCTAGTGCTGGGTAGGTGGTAGTGAAGGCAAGACTGGTCGTTTTGTTATCTTTCTGCTGGATGAAGCGCCACCTCAGTATTTACTTGGAGAGGTGCTAGAAATCCTTTTCATAATTCTCTCTGTCCCACTGCCATTATTGCCATCCATTTCTCTCCACTTTTCCTTTTTTGCTTCATCAGTTCTTTAAAAATACTATCTTTACCAATAAAGATAGAATCATGATACTGAATCATGATTCAAATAAATCTTCTGCATGCGTATCCCAAACCAGCGATCCTTTATCAATTTAATCATTATTTATCTGCTTATAATAAATGTTTTGCAATCACCTGCTGTAAAATGTCTGAAATAGGCGTGCCGGAAGATCCATACATTTGCACACGTGTCCGTTGATGCTTTTGGGGCTACAGGGTGTGCAGAGAGGACTGTCCAGATGTGTTTTTATTTCAGGACCAGAGATTCTGGGTGCATCTGCACTAGATATTACTGCAGCTTATGTAAATATATACAAACTGTCTCCAAACTAGTTTGTTAAGGAACTGTTAGTCAAGTGGAAGCAGTAGCCAGGAGCTCAGCACATACAGGTATGTGAGTACATGGCCAGCTGCTCAGAGCTATTAGCTGCTACCTTTGAACTTTGCCGTACCATGGCCGTATGACCAAGAACCTCCAAGCAACTTCAGTGTGTCTGCAGCTGCAGTTACAGGTTTAAGTGCTCTTGAACTTGCTCATGAAAACAACTTGACCCTTTGTTTGCTACACGGAGTACTATAAATGCATATCGTGTCATATGAGTACATAATCCTTGATATATTGCTGTAATGACATTTTGTTTCCCCCATCGTTTTTGGCATCAACTGTCGGCTTGTTTTAGGGATGTGTTCATGATGGTGTCAGTCAGCCTGAAAAACACCAGCTGCTTAGGAATGTTAATGTTTTCATTTGCAAAATCATGCACTGATTTGATGAGCGTCTGTTTTTATGGCCAGCCCTGGATACCTGTGGCTCTGCTCAGAGAGTCTAAGTAGGTTACTGCACAGGTAGCTTTCTAGGGCCAGCCCAAGAGATGCTCTGGGCATAGGAATGAGGTGGAATTTAGATTAGCTGAATACGGTCCTGTGCGTCGTCTTTTTAGCTGGAGGTGAATGCTCATATTAGGAGGAGCTGTAGGCTCAGCACCTGTTTGAGGTCCAGACGGCTCCTTGAAGAAATTAACTCATGAACAAAACCACTGGAAACTCCTGCCTTTTCTAAACTAGCGTTGTTCTCAAGAAATTAATTTTCCCCTATACCAGCTAATGATCTAGGCTGATAGACTGTTAGATCATAAAATAAAAACTCTATCTTTATTCATTCTTCATACACTGAATACTACCTTAAAATTTACAGAAGCACTGTACCTTATTGTTGAACAGAAAGGTCTTTCTGCCTTCAGCTGCTGCTAACACTGTTCTAGAGGCTTTTTTCTACAGCTGCTTTTCATGGTGATTATCCTGTTGCTTTCGACCGGCGAAGAAAGTTTCCAAAGAACAGGGTTTTTACTTCGGAATCAGCCAGATGGTATAAAACAGGAGGCATCTTTATGTGCGGCTGGACAGATTAGCTCCACTGAGTTTTGGATATTGAATAAGTGAAACAGCTGCTGCACCTGGTTTCTTTGTGAGTGAGATGTTTAACTGGTGTACTTCATTACAGCCCCAGTGAAGTCAGCGTGGCTGTTTTTACTTGCATTGGAGAGAGATTTGACCCGCCATGCGCACAAACTAAGTATGGCTGAGCGCCCTATATTATATCGTCGAAGAAATGCAAATGTTGCCACCAAAGTCTAGCAAACCAAAGGAATTTATCAAAGATGGAGTAATGAGTACAGAGTGTTTTCCGTCAGCTCAATCTCTTTCCTCTTTGGTGTATCTGTGACACTTGGGCATGCAAGATGTTAAATAGTAAAGACAAGTATTTGTTAGACTGCCAGGAACAGGTTGTTGCTATTGAGAATGGCTTTGAGAACTTTTTTCTGAAGTAGTTTCCTCAACTTGAAAATCACTTTTGACTGATGTTTTTCCCTGTTAGTCTTACAAAGGGCGCCCCTCCAACATGAATCAATAGAAAGGAGCCCAGTGTCAGTAAAAGCTCTGCTTTTCTTCTTCGTTTGACACACAGGAGTTGGAAAAGATTTTAAACCCGGGAAAAAGTGGCAGTTAAGCCACAAAATCGTCTGTTTGGCTCAGAGCTGTATTGTACATGAAATTACTTTAGCAATTTTCAAACTGATTACACTGAAGTCGGTCGTGCCCTTTTCAGCTTGAGTTATTGATATGAGACCCATCTTTCTGTAACAGCTGCTATTTCAGTATGCTAAATGGAAGCAATTGATGCAGGGAAGAGCCGATGCTTCGTGCCATTCAGAGTTTTCCAGCACCCAATATGCTGATGACTGCGTGAACCAAAATTCAAAGCCATTAAACAGGCCATCACTTTAACAGTACAGGTGGCAGCGACAAAAGCACAAATTCAGGGAAGTACAGCCTGAGCTAATTAATAACTGTTTTCTAAAATGCTTTAACAAAAGACTCCCACAGCCTCTCCCTGTTGCCTTTACTAATGAGGCAGGACTGGATTAATGCAGTTAAGAAAATCTCCTCAGTCTCCGAAGTAGTCTTCTGATTGCATATCTCAGACAGTTTCTCTAAGCAGCTTTTGGTTATTCAAAGTTATTGCTGTCACCTTAAAAAGTGAATTATTCTTAGCCAAGTGTAAAAGGAAGCCTGTTGTGGAGCTTGTTTTGTAGATCCTGATCTTCTGTAGTGGTTCTTTTAAAAGCCCCAGGCAATATGAAAGCCTTGGGGTTTTGATTGATGTCAGAAATAATCCCAAAATATTATTCCTCGCTTTCTTTGATTTTTTTTTTTTATTTTATTTTGATTCATAGAGCGTTTAAACTTTTAAACCTTTGCTTCATTATCCTTTTAGGGTCAGAATATCACTTGGGCTAGTGCGCTATTTTTGGCTTTGAAGGGGTCTTAGAGTCTCAGCTTTGATTCAGAGTCTTGACTATTTTGCACTTGGTTTCTGGCTCAAAGCAGAGGCTTTACAGCCCCTGATTTAATATCAGCATATTGTTGTAATTGAGGTCTACATGGGAAATTGGGATCTTATTCTCCCATAAAAACGTCTTGCTGGCTGTAGTTACAGCTAGAAATATCTCAGGGCTGAATGATTTACTCTAAGGTCTTCCTTTTGAGCACCCAGTCCATTAAGGCTGTTCCATCTTTGCAAGCAGCAGTTTTGTTTTTGGGTTTTTTTTTTTTTTTTTTTGGTCCTGTGATGGGATGTGCAGAATGTCAATGAGGAGAAAGCTCTGGCTAACCGTTTACCACTAGAGGGCATTGACCATTCTCGTTAATTTTATTCTCTTTCTGGAAATGTGGCAGGAGTAAAGTATTCCCCCTTTATAGATTTTCTGTATCACTGTGAAGACTCCTACCTTCTGCCACAAAAAGCTGGAGTCAGATTGGCAGGCTATATTATGCATGCGTCCTAGCAGATATTCTGCAAAGCCAAGCTAGCTCTATTTGTTGCGCTGCTTGCTATTTAGAGCTGAAGAAAAATTCAAGTGTGTCAACACTAACGCTTAACCCACTTGTTGTTCTTGTTTCGTGTCTCGTAGGTTTGGGTTGGGTGTTCCTGTTATTCTGAGAAACTCAGAAGAAACAGAATCCAGCACAAGAGTTTTGAAAAAGCGGATGAGACAAGTGAAGAATCCTTTTGGGTTAGAAATCCCTCATCCTGCTACAGCTTCAGTAACAAGTCAGTGGATTTCTGATGTGCTTGATTTTTGTCAGTTTGGGTTCCTGAACTTAGTGCTGTATTTTCTTGCTCTCACCCTTTTTGTTTATCAAAATTCCTCAGAAACATGCTTCCTTTCATCATTACAACAGAAATAATTTTTACACAGCTTATAAATGTGGTGCTTTTAAAAGTGAAATGTTTGGATATTTAAGTACAGTTTAATTCTTATTAATGAAACACTTCCTGCTATAACAGATTTTTAAGTAACAAAAACATTTGCAGATTACCAGCTACTGTGGGCGTTTTTGTAAACTTTACAGAATTGTAGAATTCTATAGAATTCATTATAGAATATATGCCGCCCACTTAAACCTAAGTCCAGCGGTGTTTGGAAGTGCACTACTTGAAAAAAAAAATCATCTCCCTCTCTTTCTGTCTGTGCTTCAGTGGAAACTGAGTTTAAATATCTATGTGGATCAGAGTTCAAGTAGTTCCTAACATCCTTGAGATCACCCACATAGGAAGTGAAATTCATGCCCTTCTGCATCATTGGGGAGTAGTAAGCAAGGCTGAGCATCTTCCACCAACACAGATGTGGAGCCTTCCTATGAATAAGGAGAGGGCTGCAGCAGTTTTGCATCTCCCCCAACATAAAAAAAACAACCCCCACAAACCCGGCAACTTAGTCTTCAGGTAACTTGGATTTTTCAGGAGGTTTGAGCACTTGAATTTGGTGGGACTTTTCAAGAGTTCTGCTCCTGTTTGTGCAGTAAGTGTTAGAAGTTAATGGGTTGAGTACTTGATTTTTAGAAAAGAAGTGGAGCACGTAGATCCTTTTTCTCTTCCCTCTGCGTGATCGAGAGGGCCTTATTCTTTGAGACCAGAGAGGGTGTTGTAGGCCAGTGATCCAATTAATACCATTATCTAAAGAGGGAATGGACTTTGGGCTAGGGGTTGTGCTCTTGGGTCTGCCAGTGAGTGTGTAAAATGTTACCAGAAGTTAAAATTTACCTTTCATAAAATGCACATGCTACTTTTGTTAGCTTAATCAGCCATTTTGTCTCCTCACACCCACTTCCTCATCTCCATGGACTTGCGAAAGCACTAAACCTAGTCTAAATTCTTAGAAGATCAGGTTGTAATGATAAAAATCTGGGACACTGAAGTTTTTCTGCCTGTTGCCCTTTAAGAACCTACATGTAGCAGTTCCAGAATTCCTGCACATTGGTGAGTTAATGAAATCCTTATCTTCTTTCTACAAGAGGGTATAACACTGACACCTGATTGTCTGGAAGACTGTATTCTTACATGCTATTGGGGCTGCAGTGTTCAAAAACTCCACGAAGCGTTGCAGAAACATGTCTACTGCTTCAGAATAAAGACTCCTCAGGCATTAGAGGACGCTCTGTACAGCGAATACCTCTATCGACAACAGTACTTGTATCCTTTTTTAAATTGTTTTGACAAAATATGCTAATTTGTTGGCACTGTTGAGACTTGTGAACACGTGGCAGTTCTTGGCACAATATATTTATGAACAAATATGATGAAAAATATTCTTTATGCAAACGTCACATTTGTCTACAACTGCAGCGGCACTGATTGTTTTCCTTGACACATATAAAGCATTAAAAAAAATGACAAGGAAGAAAAATATTGTCAGTTACCAGAAGATGCTCAAGTTGTCGATTTTGGCCCAGTGCCTAGATCTCGCTATCCATTGATAGCATTGTTGACGTTAGCTGATGAAGAAGACAGAGAAATATATGATATTGTAAGTAATATAAGAATATATTTTAGGGTCAATGTATTTAAGGTCTGAATGTTTCAGGAGACAGGCTTGAATAAAACGGCTTCCTTTCCCTGTCCCCCAGAATTTGGTCCCTAACTTCATCGCTGATGACTCCAGGGGAGCATGGCGGGAGAGCAAGGATAACTGTTATAAAAAAATTATGTATGCCATTCAAAAGATGCTTATGATTTTCACAAAGCTCGTATCTGCAAAGGTCTCTGTGGTAAGCCCTGTGGTCAGATGAACTAGGGTTGTGGTAGGTTAGTAAGGTATTACTCTGATTTTTCTGGTCACGTAAACCTGTGGTGGAGCTCTTGTGCTGATACGGTCTTTTGGATTGCTGTTGGCAAGGTAGGAGGATTTTTTTTTTTTAGTGTCTGGCACAGATATTTGAGCTGATTGCTGACTTGACTGTTAGGAACACAGAAATTACCTTTCTGCAACAGGCCTGAGTCTACGTAATGCAGTACATTACGTCTCACAGTAGCCAGCTCCAGGTCATTTAGAGGAAGGTGTGAAGGTCTCGCAGCAGACTGATATGAGATACTTGGCTCCCCAGAAAGGTCTCCTCCTAATCTCTTACAGTTAAAGCAGCTTCAGCATCATCACATGCAGTTCAATATCCCTTCTAAACTCTAAATTGACTGATTCTTTTTTGGAACGATTTGGGACATGCTTTTATCTCCCATCTTTTCATTTGGTTGATAATCTGATAGCACTAACTGCTTGAACAATAATACAAATGAACTCGGAAGCAAATTGCCTAAATCCACTGAACGCTTTTTTCCATACATTCATTTGGAAATTGTTTGTGATCACGCCGGTGCCTAAGAAATCTGTTCCCTTTCCAAGTGATCCCTGTCCTTGGCTTCTTGTCACTTGACCTTAGGACTGCCTTCCTCCCTCCTGTCCCACTCGAGATCCGCGCCGTCTCCAGCTATTTCCCAGATTAGTACATCTATGTATGCTTAGAGCTCAGATTAGTTTAATATGAAATTTACAGTCTTTTCATATTTGAATGTGTTTGACATTATCATGGACATGAATTTGTAACACCTCTCTTTTGTTCCTTAGCATAGAAGAAAGGGATGGAAGGAGAGTGGGGGAGGTATTTTTCCTCTGGTTTTGGAGAAAAGGAACGCAACTAGAATCTGTTACTATGGTCAAAGGAGTAATTCTACCTGAACTCGTTGCCAGACAAATGTCAAAATTGCATCTGTTGTTGTTGAAACAAACTTGTAAAATATAAATATAGTGTGGAAAGGGATCTTTGCCACTGTGGCCAGTGTGGTATTACCGCATTATTCTCACATCAGTGCATCAAGCTCCATCTTGAATTATTTTTTTGTGTGTGTGTGTCCATCACTACGGATGGTGTTCCAGTATCTCTTTTCTTGGGCGGGTGTCTAATTTTCATCTAACTGTATTTGTGACCAGATCGTACCTATTTAGTTTTGTGCCATAATTTTCCTCCAGCTCCAGAAAATTAGCATGACGATATACGAGTTACAGAAATCATTTGAAGACTGGCAAGGCTAAAGTGGAAGAAGGCTTAGACCTCAGGCCTGTGTACAAACCAGAAGATTGAGAAGTAACTTGATTATGGTGTACAAGTGTTTACAAAGAGAGAAGATACCTGGTGCTCAAGGGGAAGGGGTTCTATAATCAAACAGCTTAGCATTTCTACTATATCATAGTATCACTGTATATGTTTCTGTACTACAGGACAGCGTAACAGAGGAGACGGTAGCTTGAAGATAGAGATGCTCGCGTTAGGAACTGGTAGCACTCACAGTTAAAAAGTTGCCTACATGTGTGAACAAACTATGAATTGAAGACATGCGTCGTCATTGAGAAAGCACTTATTTTATGGTGGGATGACATAATACAAATACACTGAGAACTGTTAACTTTTAAACTCTTATTATCAAAACACGCAATCTGTCATTTTAATGGCTTTAAGGATTTAATGGCTTTCAGGTTCCAAAACAAAGCTAGTAGCCGTGTGGGTTTGGTTTGGGGTTTTTTTTTGAGGCATTGTGATTTAGGAAAAAAAGACCTTATTGCCAAAGAATAGTAAATTCAGTTAGTAGAAATACATATGTATAGGTACATATATATTTAAACTCTGCATGTAATTAGCCATGCATGGATTTTGAAGTGGAAGTCTGATTTGCCTTTAAATTTTTTTTTTTTTTAAACAAAACAGCTTTCTTCTGTATTTCATTTCTCTTTTGACAGCTTCTGGGAACTACAATAATACTGAATTTCACTTTCTTTTTTTCCTGCTTTTTAGAGGCTATTACGTGATTTGGGCAGGGTGAGGGGTACTAGGCACAGCATGCAAGCTTAGAGTGCTTTTATTTTCAGAAAAATTACTCTAAAGTCAGCCCATGCGGTCCTTTCATAATCCTTTCCAGTGAAATTTGTCTTTTGCCTGTTCTGTTTACAAGCCAATCAGTGACACATCTAAATGCTTTTTGGAGTCTAAAAACCGCTGTCCGTGTGTTTGTGAGGGAAGTGGGAGAAAGTAGAGAAGACTTTGCATTTTATACGTTCCCCTGTAATTCTGCTCTCGGACTTCAGCTGGCAGTGTCACTTCTTGCGTTGAAGACAGCCTGGGATGCGGCTGCAGAAGTTGTACGGGACTTCAGCGCATGCGCTCGCTTGGGGCTCGGCTGCCGTAGGAAACTCCTTGCAGTTTGCCAACTTCTCTCCCATCTAGGAGGAGCTCATCATGAGTTAGTGGAGTGGAAGGAGGGGTGTAGGAGCCGCTACTTCTGGCTGAAATCACTACGCAGGTAGCTTCTCCAAGGCACGTCCGTGACTGTGTAAGCAAGCCCTACCTCAGCTGCGTAAGCACTTACCTTCAGGAGGACTGCATGTGCTTAGGTGCCTTTTTGGTTTGGGGCCTAATTCCATTAGGTGAGAGCAGTCGGAGCGGGTCTCCGCTGCAAACTGGCCATAGAAGGGCTCTGTGGAGAACCAGGGCAGAAAGCTGAAGTGCCACAAAGTGCTATCTTGTGCCACGTCCTGTTTTTACCTCGTCCAGCATATTTTTTGGTCTGTGCCCGAGGTCAACGTTGTTGAAGTCCTGATTGTCTAAGGAAATAAGCAGGTCAGAGGTTGTAACAGTTTGCTTGCAAGATTGCATACTTTCTTCTATATGAATCCTATAATGAAAAGGAAAGTTACTAAACATAGCTTTTCTTTTTTTTGGTAGATTTCAATGGTGGCTGTAATTCACATTCCTGATGAGAGCTACAGACTTTCCTGTAGAATATTGTATCAGTATCTACTTCTAGCTCAAGGTCAATACCATGATCTGAAGGTAAGCCACATACCGAGTCTTGTTTCATTTGGGCGACAGTGTTAAGTTTAGTTTGTGTAGGCTGTCAGGTGCCTAAATTAGTATAAGACTTTCATTGTCATGCAAAGAACTGGATAATAGTTAAAGTTATTTTATCAGTTAAGTAGTTCCAGCCAAAGTTACTGTACAGAAATATTTTATATTAAAATATTCAAGATTTCCTGGAGATATTACTTGATTCTAGTCTAGAGGCCTAGGTCCTGTCCAGTTATTAAAGCAGTAGTAGGACATTAACTAGCTGTCCAATGCTTCCTCTCTTCAGAACACTTATTACCTCCTTGCTAGTCTCTCAAACCAGCACTTTCTCCTATACTGCCCTTCGATTGGGAAAGCCTCAGGAGAAACTTTTGTTTTAATTTCTTTTTACCGCAGTACATGCACAAAGGTTAGAAATCTGCCTAGCACAAACCATTGTAAGTTAAACCAATGTTCTCATAATTCCGTTCTAGTTTCCCTTATCTGTGCATGTTGTGGGACCATCTTTGTCCTGTGTCTGTCAGGCAGCTGATGATGTGATTCTATTTTATATTACTGTGATAATAAAAATAACATACGATATTGATAAGCTAGAAATTGGGCCAAATTACTTCTGTTGACTCGATTAGCATTCATTCAGAAATAGATTCGTCCAAAGAAATGTTTGTCCTGGCCATTTTTTTGCTGACATAGTTGATCCAGGTAAACTTCCCTGTTGACCCCCTTAAGTTTTCTTTTCATGTGTGGTTACCATTGTAAAAACACTGCTTAAACTGAGCAGAAATAACTGCGCAGCTGTGTTTCGTGTAGTTGTGTAGTGTGCTCTCTGTGGGCACCTTTGCCTGCATGGTAGTTTACTGGCTTTATGAAGAGATCATGCCCAGAAGAATTTGTGCTTCACATAAAATAAGACAAAAAGGAGTAGGGGACTGTAATATGAGCAAGAGCGGAACGGCTCGAGTGAAGTAGATTTGACAGCTTGGTGGATATATTTTTGGCAGGAATGGATAGAAGCATCCCTCTAGGCATAGAGAATGATATACCAGAAACAGAAACCTGAGCTGCTCAAAACCTGAGCAGTTCTGTTAAAGTTCATGCATGTACATTGAGTTGATTCAGCTAAGGTTTGATGACTTATCCTTAATATTTTCCCAGTGTTTTATGTAATTTTATGCTTCTGAAATACCTCTAACTGAAGGCCGGGCAACTGTCAGGACTCACACAAAGAGTGAGTCTGGCACTATTTGACCCAGTAGAAACCAGTGATTCTGACCCAGTGGAACCTGCATCGTGTGTGCGCGTTCAGGTATCGGAGGAGAGTTTGTTGACTTCTAAATGTTTGTGTATATGTGTATTTTAGCAACTCTTCATGTCTGCAAATAGTACCGCACCATCTTCAAGCGATGCGTCCCCTGGTGAGAGAGGCACTGACAGAAGCTTGCTAGAAAAGGCCGGACTGGCTGAAGATGAACCAGAATTGCATGAAGAAAACAGTAAAGACTGTGTTGTCTGCCAGAATGGCACAGTGAACTGGGTACTCCTGCCCTGCAGGCACGCCTGCTTGTGTGACGGCTGCATTAAGTATTTTCAGCAGTGTCCAATGTGTAGGCAGTTTGTTCAAGAATCTTTTCCACTTTGCAGTAAAAAGGAGCAAGATGAAGATGACTCAACCCGTATCTTGCAAGATGTTCTTCCTGGAAGAGTTTTTTAATGGGGAAGAAGTAGAAGAACCGGGTTGTATGCACCAAGATTAAATGTAGAAAACAGACTGTTTATGGGAGGATACGTAGCATTAACTTGTATGGTTTTGCTTTTTATTGTTAGGTAATTTTCAGCTTCCTTATTTTTCTTCACTCCATATGCTCGCAGGAACACTATACTGATCCATGCGATGTGGACAGAAGTGCGTAGGATATCTTTGAAGGATGTGATTTTATTTATAACTTCTTACTAGTTTTTCATGGAGTACTATTGGAGGCTGTTTTGATTACTAAATTTAGTATATCTACTAAAAAAAGAATAAAACCTGCAAGTGAAGTTGCACACAGCTCATTCTATATTTATTGTATTTCAAATACTAGAGCAATGTATCATTTTGACTCAGTATAATTTAGAAACATAGCACTTTACAGAATGTATCAAATGAAGGAAAGTAAATATTCTTCATCCTTAAACCCGCGTATATTTATTTTGTAGGTGAAGGCTGGACTGTGGCGGGCATTCAGGATACTGTTTCTGGCTGTTTTGAAAGATTTGTGTGCGTGCATGCGTGCGTGCGTGAGGGACCTTAGCCAAAGCCCGTTGGAATGAGTGGAAAGACTTTTGTTGATTATTGTTGGCTTGAACTAAACGTTGCTGACGCTTTCAAGCCTGAGCTTCTGCTATGTTGTCTTGAGACACAGACTTTCAATCTTGTTAGCAATGGCTGTAAGAACTTGTTCTCCATGCAAATGTTAGTTAATTACTCCACAGAGTGGTTACTCGGGCAGTTTTGTGGTGCTATTCTTACACGAGTAGCCTGCTTTGGGGAATTTCCAACTCTTTTTACTTGCATTGTCAGCTAAAGAATAGCAGAAAATTATTTCTTTTTCCCTGCAATGGTGTATTGTCAAAAGCAATAAAAATGGCTGTTGAGAAGAGAAATTGTTGGTTTGCTTCTTGAGAGAGAGCTGAATTCTAAAGACAGACGGGCTGGGTTTCACATCTGCTCGTATAAGACAAAAATACAAACGCTCATTAGAACCTGCAGAAAATGGGGAGTAGCTGCTTTCTGTCCTCCCTCTTGTTCCCTTGCAGCTTTGCCCCACATCCAGTCCCAGGACAGCTGCTCAGTCTCGGGGAGAGAAAGCCGTGCTCCAAGCTATTCGGCTGCACTCTCCCGCAGCTCCTTTAACGGTGCTGCCGGTACAAGGTACACGCAAGGTGCTGCACGCCTCCAAAATGGGGAAGGAAGCTGCCCCTGCTCAAAGGTATTCCGTCTTCATCTTTCTGTCATTCAGGTTTTTGTTTTGCCGCGACCCTGCTTCCAAACTCCTGGCAGTTGCCTCTGAGGAAAAGATGTAGGTGGTGGTGGAAAGAGCAATGCTTAGTTGTAAAGACAGAGGTTGGGAATCGATGCACGTAGCCACAGATTTCCAGCCAGTGATCAGTAGGCTGTTCGTAAGACAATTTATTTGGCCTATGAAAAGTGACCTTCCTTGCCAGGGACAACTCGGGAATAAACTGCTGGCCAAATCAGCCTTTTGTTTGCACTGTGTATCAAACAGGAATTCAATACCTAGGTGTCTGTGGGGTCCCATCAGTGCTTGCAGAGAACTTTGGAAGACAGATGGTTCTGTGCGGAAATCATCATGGCAAAGAGCGGCGTGTATGCTGCAATTCGGGAGGCTGAGAACAGCAAGAGGAGGGCAGAGAAGAATGTAATAGCAGAAGGAATGAGCGCTGGTGGCAGCAAGGCCGTACCTTGGGTAAGAACACAGTGCAGATGTGGAGCAACAACAGCGTGATGCAACTCAAGCAGACCCAGAGCTGCCTGTATAAAGACTATAAATATCGTACGGTGTCTTCACCGCTCGGGATGAATCACGGAGGCATGATGAGGACTCGTCCTCTGCGTCACTACAGGCAGTCGGCACCGCACCACTTAGACCCGTGTGTCTTGGTGCTAGTGAGAATGTGAACGTGTGAGAATGAGCGTGAAAGAATGAGGGGGTGAAATCGGTCTTAAAAATAAAAATCACCTTCCCTTTCTGTGTGGTCTCACGTTGAGTTTTGCTAGCTTGGTCGCAGCATACCTGATGGAGGTCATTGCTGAGGTTAGCCTCCCGATCTGTGTCACTAGCCTTGTTCTGCCATTAAAGGGGAGCAGCTAACGTGATGGTGGTGGAAATAATTACTCTTCAGACGTCCCTTCATATCCGCATGTCCCTGTTGTGAAATGGAGAGCTGGTGTAAATTGCTCTAGGCCTCCGTGGGCTCTCAGAAAAATTAGTATAAAGACCTAAGAGCCGCAGCCGTGACAATAGTTGTTTCCATACGAACAGCTTCGACTACCAGCGTGTGGGACAGTGGCTGCACAGATGGTTACTCCAGAGGAGCAGGTTGGTGCTGCGCTGGTTCTAGCCTGGAGCTGGGCACCGCTTGATAGTTAGCAGGGACTTGGTTTGTCCACGTGGGTGATCAAAGAGGTGGTGTTTACTGCTTGACCACGGTAGTCCCCGACATTAGATCAGTTAATTAAAATTTCCCAACAAGACGGTGTGATCCAAGCTCGTGGGCTTGTTTAATCTCAAAGTGAAACGGTATTCAAGTAAACCCCACAGAGAATTGCCTGGTCTGTCTCATCCTTCAACCAATCGATGCCAGTATTAAATAATAACGGCAAACAGTATGCAGCCGTGCTGAACTGCCAGGCCGCGTATTTACCATTAAGTCTATCCCAGCTTTTCATTTGTTTCATGTTCTTTTAATAGCGTTTTCCAGAGATGCTCAGCTGCTTTTATCAGATCTAACAAGCTTCCTCGCTGGCCCAAATCAAAGACCTGACTGAGAGTTATAAATAAGTACAGTAGCCGGCTTGTTACGTTTGCCCTTCTTCTAAGAAGCCATCTCAAAATATAGATCAGGTGAGAAGTAAAAGGAGCAGCTCTAAAGCTGCCTTGTGTGTCCCTTGGTTGTCTTAAAACAGGGAGTCAAGGCTCTAAGAGAGAAATAAAACCTTTCCGTGACCCACAAAAACACAGTATATTGACAGAGGCTGTTCTGCTCTGTCGCCCTGTTACAATAGAAGTAATGCAACATTCCTCTTCCGCTCGTTATCGATGATGTTTATGGATTTGGTGACGTCAAGAAACATATGCAGACTGCTGGCAGCAAGACTTGCTTCTTTTCAGCAGCGTTGGGGTATTACAAATTCGTAATGATTTTTGCTGCAGGAGAGAGGTGGGAGGTACCTCACCGCTTGGTTTGGTTCATCAACTGTAATCAGAGCTGAGGCTTCGAGAAGAGTTGATCGAACTGAGTGGTGTTACTGCGGGATGTCCCAGGGTGCCTCTCCGAATGCCAGTGGACTATGACGTGGACATCTTCCTTCTGCTAGAGAAAGTTGTTCTGTTAGGATCTTCCTTCCTCCCTACCTGCCTCCGCCAAGTAGAGGGCAAATGGTAGGAGGGGGACAAATCGGGTCAATTCATCTCAAAATGGTCTTCCCGTTCCCATGAGGAATTTGGAATTCCCATAAGGCGCGTTGAAAACTGGCTAATGCCCTGACCCCTACTCTTCGTGGGCTAAAACGGTGCTGCGTTCCACTACAGACCCTATAAAGTCTCACCACCACCACTGAGGATGACCATTGGCCATCAGAGCGCCGAGGCTGGCTGCTGGGCTACCGGTAGCCAAGGCTGCCAACCTGGCATGATGCTGCTCCCCATCAGGGAATAAGGGAAGGGGGAGTTCAGCATCTCATGTTTTGGTGGGTCTGAGCAGATGAGAACCCACGCACGTATTTTCTTCAGCTTTAAGACAAGCTGCTGTGTGAATCTGATTAAAACGATTTACTTGTTAACATCGAATTTAAAACTGTAAGTACGGTGAAAGGAATCAGGAATCAGGGTCTGAGTTTCTCCCGCCCGTTTGTGCGTTGCTCAGTCCCCCCACGCCCTGGTGAAGCTCCGCAAGGTCTGCCGGGTGAAGGAGGTCCGGGGCTGGCGTGTGTAACAGGGAAGTCTCTGCAGTAACTGGCCACCAGTCGCAGTTTGCTCAGTTGTCCTGATATCCAGAATAAACAAGGACTGGCCTCTGTCACTGCAGCAGACGTGCAGCCCCTGCAAAGGCTGTCCCTGGTGTCCTGTATGTTTATAGCTAATGTAATTAATGCCAGGAATAGCTGAATTTTATCTGATACAGCAAAAGTCCTCCTCTGATCTAAGCCACTAGAAAGGCTTGGTATTGTCTTGCTGGAGTATGCTGGGCAGGAAGGGCAAAGAGAAAACCAGGATTAGGGTTATATTTCTGGATAACTTTAGTATTACTACCATTTTAACGTTGCTTTGACGGCATACAGTGGCCTCGTAACGCAAATGCATACCTGAGCTCAGCTCTCGGGCCACAGCCGAGCGTTGGAGAGTCCCATGCTTTGCAGGGTCCCCCAAAAACAGCCAGACCCCGCTCCCTGCCTTGCCACCGCTCTCTGAAGCAGTGCTAGCCACGATCCCCGGGGATGTTTGCCCAGCTAGCGACCACAGAGGGGCTCAGAAAGTCGCTGCTGAACAGCGCGGAGTCGTTCAGGTGGCTCTACACGTTGTTTCTGTATTGCTTTTACTCCCTCGTGTCCATAAGTGATGTGGGTAGAGAGATACACGAGCTTGTAGTGCAGCGATGGTAATACCTGTAGAAAGGGGCTTCTACTGGGTTGGTTCCATAAATTTGTAGGAATGTGCAACACCTCCACAAAGGCACCTTTGTCTGGATGCTGCTGCATCTGAGCTAGGAGAGTTCCTGCTTTAATTATGCCATCTCATAATGGGAATGATTTAAAACAGTAAAAATACTGTATGTAAACATAGCCTTAAGACTAGATGAAGTCTTCAGCGGAGTCTGATGTCCGAAGTGAGGAGTCTCTCTCCGACACTATTTTGAAAAGCAATGACAGATTATAAATTCACGCTGAGGTTACTGAGCTTTCATTAGGGTTCAAAGGAACCCAAAAAACTCCTTTCACTCCTCCTCCCCACACAGGTACTCCTCAGCCATAGAAAGGGCAACACCGTGACATTCGCCATCGTCATGACATGATGAGTCACTGCATTGCCATTCTTTAGAAAACACCTGTACAACCTGTGCAGCGTCCGGGTGGTCCTGAGGGTCGAGTGAATTCCAGAATTACTTCTGCGGGACCAGCAATAAATTATCTGGGCAATTAGTTGCTACCTGTGTTTTATATCCTCAGTCTGGGGTGTCCTTGTATCAGCAGAAGATTTGTACCTAGAAAGCTTTTCTAGGTTTTAGATGCCTCCTCCAGCTTTTTGTCTTCATCAAATGAGGGGTTTTGGCGGTTCCTAATATTTTTTACTCTCCCATTGCATAGCCACTTCACATCTAATATTTCTTGGCAGATTTTTCAATAGTAGCTGTAGTCAGGGGACTGGTGAGGCATCTAATGCATCACTTACTTCTC